TTGTAGTATAATTTCAAGTCAGGAATGGTGATGCCTCCTGCCTTGTCTTTTTTTGCCCAGGATTGCCTTTGCTATTCTAGGTCTTTTCTGGTTCCAAATAAATTTTAGGAATGATTTCTTTAGGTCTGGGAGGTATGTTGGTGGTAGTTTGATAGGGATTGTATTAAATCTGTACAACAATTTTGGGAGTGTGGCCATCTTCACAATGTTTGTTCTTCTTGTCCAGGAGCAGGGAATATCTTTCCATTTTCTGAAATGCTCTACAATCTCTTTTTTCAGAGTACTGTAATTTTCAGTGAATAGATCTTTGACTTCTTTAGTTAGATTAATATCAAGGTATTTCATTTTCCACAGTGCTATTGTAAAAGGTATTGTTTCTCTAATTTCCCTCTCAGTGTGTTTGTTTTCCGTGTAGAGGAATGCTATTGACTTTTGGGTATTGACTTTGTATCCTGCTATGCTACTGAATTTGTATATGAATTCTAGTAGCTTCTTGGTGGAATTTTTTGGGTATCATGTCAAAATAATAATGATAATTTAACTTCATTAACCTATTCTTATTCCTTTTATTTCTCTCTCTTGTCAAATGGCTCTAGCTAATGATTCCAGAACTATATTGAATAGAAGTGGTGATAGAGAACATCCTTGTCTTGTACCCGATCTGAGAATAAAAGATTTCAGTTTTTCCCCATTTAGCATTACGTTAGCTGTTGGGTTGTCATAGATGGCTTTTATCAGATTGAAGTAGAGGCCATCTATTCCAATTTTCTGTAGGACTTTGAACATGAATGAGTGTTGAACTTTGTCAAAAGCCTTTTCTTCATCATTTAAGATAATCATGTGGTTTGGGATTTGGCTCTATTGATACAGTGTATTACATTTATAGATTTGCATATATTGAACCATCCTTGCATCCCTGGGATGAATCCTACCTGGCCATAGGGTATAATCTTCTTGATGATTTGCTGTATTCTGTTTGCTAGGATTTTATTGAGGATTTTTGCATCTACATTCATGAGGGAGATTGGCCTGTAATTCTCTTTTTTAGTTGCATCTTTCCCTAGTTTTGGCATCAGTATAATATACAAAATAGGATAGATACACAGCTACTTTCTCTTAATTCAATGAGAAGAAAGATTTGTACTAATAGTTTTGGACAGGATATCATGTCTGCATCTTGTACTATGAATAACCACTATGAAGACAACACTATACAACATATTAATTATTGAACCTGTCCTACTACTCAGTTTTGAAACTGTCTTATTGCTATTTGTTTCTCAATAAAATTAATTTAAAAATTAAAAATATTTTTTACTCTTTTATTTATTTATTTGGTACAGGGTCTCATTATGCAGTTCAGACTCATAGTCTCATAGTGATCCTTTCATCTCAGCCTCCTCAGTGCTGGGATTACAGGCTTGTGCCACCACGCCTGATTTCAGTGGCTGGCACAGCATGCCCAGGACTCCGAGGCCAGCATGGCCTGTGGTACCAGGGATCAAACCCAGATCCTTGTGCTTGCCAAGCAGGTGCTTAGACCACCTGGCTATCTCCCCAGCTCCCAGCAGTAAGGGTTTTTAATATCCTCTGATGTTTGATCAAAATAGTCCCTGATATGTGTATATAAATGTGCTTGTATGTCAAGAAATCCCGACATACAAAATATCTCCACATTCATTTCTGGGTAGTATTTGAGATTTTTTAAAAAATGCATTAAACTGGATGTGCTAAATCTCAGGTGTAATCAATAGGGAAGACTGAGAAGGTGAACAAGCTGTTCAAATTATGTAAATTCAACTAAACAACGAACTATACAAAGTTATACAAACTCAACTAAGCTCTAACAAAATCAGATTGGTAAATATATCTTTAGGGAGCATTTCAGAGCCTACTTTGCTAGGGAGGTTAAGTCTAATGCTCCCCACCACACTGAAAGAATCCCTTGAAGCAGCAGATATTTTGACTCTTACCCTCTGATAGGCTAGTCCTTCGTATATGATAACTATCCTCATGTTTTGACACTGGTTATGTACAGAGTAATATTTTTATCTATCACTATCAAAGATACAGAAAACATTTTCTGAGTACTATACCTTGTTAATTCCACCTTTGACAGGAAGTTTTCCCAAATGTTGTCTAAAAGAATGTTGACCTGAAGCAAAATGGTGTAACTATACCATTTCCAAATCAAAGCTATCCCAACTCAGTTGATTTTATATATTTATCTTAATGTTCATTGCTCATAACTATAAGAAATATTTTCAATCTTGTTTCCTATTCTTAATATATGTTATTATTAGTAATAAATGTAATAAAAAGGAAAATGTGTAAAATTATATTTAGAAAACTTATTATAAACCAAGTATGGTGGCACACACCCATAATTCCAGATTTTGAGAGGCTGAGGCAGGAGGATTGCGCATAGTAAGTACAAGGCCAGTCTGAACTACACATAAGACTCTGTCTCAAAAGACAAAAACAACAATAACCAAAAAAGCTTGATGCAAATAAAATGATGTGAATATCAAATTTTGAAAAACCTTTTTCTTTCCAATGTATTTGGGTTTCACTATGCAGCTCAGACTCATGCAGATGATCCTCGTTCTTTCAGTCTTCCAAGCATTGGGATTACAGGCATATACCACTAGACTTGGTCTCTGGCCCCCTCAGCCCACCCTGGGACAGGGCTGGTGCAGCATGTGGTGCGGGGAATCAAACCAGTCCCTGCACTTGCCTAAATTTGTCTAAGCAGGCGCTTTAATCTGACGAGCTATCTCACCGGCCCCGGGTTTTTTATGTTTGTTTGTTTTTGGTGTTGACATTGAACACAGGATGTTGCATAACTAAGCAGTACTACATTCTGTCAAATCTTGAAAAATCTTAATATCTATATGCTTTCCCCAAGTTAGTCATATCAAATATGATAGCAAACAAGTCAAAATAAAACTGACCATTGTAGGAGTTCCCATAAGACAAAACTGAAATGGAAACAAAAGCCCTAATTAATCAAAGTCTTGCTCTAAAATTTATATAAAAAGAATTAATCCTGATGAAAATAATTTCAGCAAAACTAAAAAGAAAATGGAGAAACTTAGAAGAACTGAAACAGTATTAAAAGTTAGTCAGGAGTTAAATTGGCAATTAAATCATAAATAGGATAAATTTTATTCATGAAAATTTATCAGTATGGGTGATAAATACTTTATTAATTTAAATATTCTGATTAAAACAATTATGTTCATGAACTTGCATCACTGTAAGGCCTCGCCTATCTTGTTGGCACAGTAAATCTTCTTGTGATGACGATGTAACATTTATGGACATCTCTTGACCAGGTCAGCAGTAGACAGTGGTATGTGCTATTGAGAACGCCAGCTCTTCCTCGGTTGTCCACTAGAATTCTTTGCAGCAGTCAGTGAAAACTGCCGCTGATTCACTCTTTTGTCTTACAGATCCTTGAAACCTGATAGTAAACCAAGGAAGAGCACTAGGTATAGCAATAAAGCATTGGCAGTTGAGCTGTTCTGGTAAAATTGTTCAACGAGAGGCCGGGGAGATGGCTCAGTGGAAAATTGTTCAACCATTTTGTTCTCATTTGTCAGGATGGTTGGTAAGCGCTGATCATGCCGAGAAAGATTTCATCACTACATTTAACCAAGTTTGATTTTAGTTTCTAGCAAAACTGGAGGCATGGAAGAGATGCGTAATCTGCAGTGTCAAGCTTTGTGGGGAAGGAAGTGGGCACGTTCCCCTGGGCTCAGGAGCGAGGCGCGGAGCTGTGGGCGTTCTCAGTCTGAAAGGCAATGATGTTCCACCAAGAAGTTATTCAAAGTAGCAGTAATTCTCTTTAAAAGTTTAGATTCGCTGAAGAAAAAAGATTAAAATCCTAAGGTTTTTAAAACGTAATCTCTTCTTTAAAGTTATTTGTTCCTTAACCATGTTGCCAAAGAAGCCATTGAAGGGATTTTTTTAAATAATAATATAACTTTGATAGTTGAACATCCCCATTTTACAAGTCTAGGAGAGCTTCAGTCTCCTATCCAAAGCCACAGCTGCCCTGGAATCCAGCTCACTGAATGCTCAGAAGAGAGGGTTGGTTTTTTTTTTTTTTTTTCTACAATATCACTTTATGTAAAAGATTCAGGCTTACAAATTTATCTTGTCTATGGAATTAGGCAGGAGAGGAAATAGATCGCTGCCTTTTTGTAGTATAGCAACCTGGTTATCATGGTTTGCATCTTTGGGTTAGGATGTATATTTTTCTGTGGAATATAATTTGTGGGGTTTTTCTGGCATTTACTTATACTTAACTGTTCAATGAGCATTAATTTACTTAAATTTTGATTAAAGTTGTAAAAAAATCATACCCCAAGTAACAATAGCCACAGAATAGAAAATGCAAGATGTGACTTCAATATGAATTAGATGTGCCTTCTATGACCATATAACATCACTTAATCTCCTAAAATTCCCTATTTAACCTGGAAAAAATAATTACTGTCATGTTTCCTCATAAAGCAGTGGTTTTATAAGGTTCAGATGAAATGACAGATGTAAAAATACTTTGAAAACACTAAGTGATTCCAATGCCATGTTCCTCAGGGAACTTCATCCATGGAGGCCAATGCTAATAAGCAATATTTATTTAATGGGACATTATTAATGATGTTTATACTTTCTATTTAATCTTCATAAAGATATGTTAGGATGACACATTTCATTGGGACAGCCCAAGAGCCACATTACATTGAATTACTTTGGCACTCTTGAAGTTTATGGGACGGCAGGAAGAGGTTGCCATGAATCTAAAATGTTCCACAAGTATTCCTCAAAGTAGTTAATCCTTAGTAGTGGACCCCTAAGTAGTACTCTTTGCTAGCTGAGTAAGAGAAACATCACTCAAGAAATATTTATTATTTCTCATTTGATGTGCGATTTTCCTCCCAGTTTATATTCGACATTGGTATCATTAAGGCTGTTACCCATTCACGTGGTAGGAAAGGTTTGGTGGGGTTTTTTTTGTTTTTTGGTTTTTTTTGTATTTTTAGGTCTACAGGGTGTTCAGGGTCTCATTACTAGATCAGACTCGTAGTGATCTTCCTGTTTACAGCCTCCTAAGAGCTGGGATTACAGGCATACACCACCATGCCCATTCTTAATTACTGTCTCAGTGCGCCCCAGGTCAGGGCCAGCATGGCAGGCCAGGGGATCAAACCCTGGTCCCTGTGCCTGATTGCAGGCACTTTAATCCGCTGAGCTATTTGGCTGGCTAGAAAAAGTTTATTTATATTGGCTGTTTCTCAACTCTTGAAATCCCTGTATGAATAAACCAAAGAACGTTACCTCAAAAATATGGGTTTCTCACTTGAAAGAATTAACAACTGGGACCACCTCTTATTGAGAATTTTTTTCATGTCAAAAGAAATTATCAACAAAGTGAAAAGACAACCCACAAACTTCGAAAAAATCTTAACTAATAAGCATTCAGACAAAGGTCTGCTCTCTAGAATTTATAAAGAACTAAAGAACATTAGGGCCCATAAATTTAAAGACTCAATTCAGAAATGGGCATCTGAGATGAGCACACACTTCTCAGAGGATGAAATTAAAGAAGCGAATAAATATATGAAAAAATGCTCCACATTGCTAGCCATCCGTGAAATGCAAATTAAAACAACACTGAGATACCATCTCACCCCAGAAAGATTGGCTATCATAAAGAAAAATATGGGTTTCTCCACATATTTTTAAACTATTTTAATTAACATCTATAACTCACTTATCTGATTGTCTGGGTTTTTCCCCTAGAGATGGTATAAAAATTAAAAAGTCTTAAAAATTCTGAAAGTACACTGATGGTAGTTCTATAAATTCTGATAATGTGTATCGTAGCTGAAAGTGAAAGAAGATTTTAATTGTTACAATAAGTACTTAACCTTAGTTAGATTTAGTCTTTGCTATAGGTATAAACAAAATCATCAAAAGTTGCAATATTACAGAATCCTAGAATGCTAGAATTTAAAGGCATATGGGAGATACCTCATTCAAGCCTTCCTTGAGGTTCAGAGAGGATATTATTCAAGTTTATGGAATGACTTGGTGTTGGGTTATGCTTACACTTACCCTAGACTTGTATATCTTGCTCTATACCTTTTTAAATTCCTAATTATGACAAATTTTTCTTATGGGCATTTAAAAGTTATCTTTCTCTAATTTCAATTTTCACTAAAGCAGGAAAATCTGTCTTTCTTGGCAGCATAAAGATCACACAGCTCCGTCCCACCCCTACAGTGAGCACAATTCTGATTTTAAAAAAGGTCAAACTCACGTCTCCCTCCTAATTGTCTGTGCTTCCCAGTTTCTTCACCCCGAATCTGGCTGGCGAGGAGACAGCATTCTTTGAAAGCTTGGGTACAACGTGGACCTATGGAGATACGGGCCGCTCGCTGCTCGCAGCTTTCAAAATCATTGCGATGGGCTCCGTCGTAACAGCATTTCTTGAGCACCGCATGTTTGTACTTAGCAGCTGAATGGTAGTATTACAGGTCAGTGCTTGCTTATGCATAGAATTGTAACATCCCAGGCTTAGAAGGAATCCTGAGGGACACTTGGCTTCTGACAAATGGTGTCTATGCCTACTATAGAAATATACATATGGGTGTGGGAGAGCTTCTGGCTACCCTGCGCCACCGGGAACTGTGTGGTCCAAGCCCAGGTGCAGCATGGGTGAGACCCTCTTCCACCCCCTTAAGACCCCCACCACCACTACGCACCGCCCCCCGCCCGCCAAGTGAGAATTTCTGCAGTGTTCTTGGAACCCCCAGATCCAGCCCTAGCCAAGGCCCAGTGAGTATGTGGGAGAGCTTCCTCTCCCCCCTACTTCACCTTGTCCCCTCCAGACTCAGATCAGGCCTGGCATACAGGTCTGGGGTGAAACCCTGCAGCTGCAATCTCTGCAGAGATAGTAGGGGACAGAACCACCCAGCTAGTCCAGGAGCAGAACATCTTGCCAGAGGGGCACAACAGGTTCACCCCGAAGGGCGGCAGCCGGAAGTTGCTGAGCATAGCAGCCAAACCCAAGCCAGGTACAGCTGGACAAATTCAAACTTTGTAGATCTGCACCTGAATTTCAGTAGTTGCTAAGGTTATAACTGCACCAAAGCTCTACAACAATGGTCAGAAGGCAGTGCTATACAAATGACAACGAGAAGGAGTAAAATGCAATCTCAGACCCCAAACCCACCCATACCAAGTGCAAAGGACACTAACACTGAAAAAATTGAGAATCAAACAGTTGAAATCAATGATTCAATAGCTTCTGAAATAAAGAAACAGCTGCAGAAAGGTATAGAGGAACTCAGATTGGAAATGAAAAAAGAAATCCCTGAATTAATAGCATCTGCAGTAAGAATCAAAGACAAAATTTATGTAGGAAACCCAATGCCGACCCAGAACAAGTGCAGAGGACACTAGCTCAGCTGAAATGTATGAATTAATAGCGTCAAAAGTGAATAAGCAACAGCAGAAAGTCATAGAGGAACTCAGAGTGGAACTATTTTCTGAAATAAAAAAAATTTTCTGAACTCATAGCATGTGAAGTAAAGAATCAACTACAGAAACATTGGGAGGAAACCCAATCTGAAAAAAATCCTGCAGTAAAAGAATTAATAACTGCTTTTAAAGAAGACATTGATAAAAAAAATAGAGGAGATTAGAAAAATAATGGATTCCTTGAATGACCAATACACGAAAGAAATAGATTGCATGAAGCAGAGTCAAAGAGATATAGAGGAAATTAAAATTTCAATCACAAGCTTGCAAAACCGTTAGAGTGAAAGTGAAGACAGAGTTTCAGATCTTGAAGATGCTGGTGCAGCTAGTGAAAATGTAAGAAAGGATCTCTTAAAAACCACTAGGAGGCGGGAAAAAATAATCCATCACTTGCAAGACCATGCAAAGATAAACAATGTGAGACTAATAGGTATCAATGAGAAAGATGGAGTCAATACAAATAACATTAAAAAAAGTATGGGCAGAAGTAATAGCAGAAAACTTCCCAAATATGAGGAAACAATCTGACATTCAGGTAACCGAAGCATACAGAACGCCAAGGAACCTCAACCCAATTAAAAACACTCTAAAATATATAATAGTCAAGGGGGCTGGAGAGATGGCTCAGTGGTCTAAGGCACCTACTT